TAATTACAGGTGAGTCACGTAAATTTATGTTTTTATAAAACAAGTAGACCCCCCCACCCCCAAGCCCAATTTCCTAGGGGAAACACTGTCCAGTGTTAGTGTGGATCAGGTGCCATCAGAGTGAGATCATCTCTATTTAAATAAAATACTGTTAGATCAATTTACAATGCTCCACATCCCTTTTTCTAGAACATTAATGATACTTTTATTTTTAAAAAGTCCCAATTATACTTTAGATTTCTGAGTTGAAACTGCTCTACTTGTCATAAATTCATCAGTACAGGGTTGGGTAGTATGGTCTACAAATGAGTGTTTTAGTGTTTTATTGCAATGCAATATCAATAATTTAAACTGCTAAAAATCACTAGAATGTTTATTTCAACTTTTTATTTGTTTAAATGCACACTTCCACTGAAAAAACTAGATACCACATAGTGGTAAAATAATGACCCCCGCACGCACAAATGCACCAGAACTCAGAAGTAGGGCTGCAACAACGAATCGATAAACTCGATAAAAATCGATTATTAAAAGCGTTGGCAATGAGTTTCATTATTGATTCATTGTGTCCCGCATTTTATGCATCCCTCGCGTGTTGCGGAGCCGTTTACGTCACCCGCAGAGCATTGTCAATGCTGGCTGAGCTAAATAAAGTTTAGGAAGAAAAAAAACTCTACCTGTAGATCCGCCCTCTCTGAGACTCTTGAATGAAAAGCAGAGACTTCGAGCTTTAAAGCAGTTTTTAAATTGTGTTGTTAGGACAAGTAGATCTGAAGAAACTATAAAAAGCATATGCCACAATTWATTTTTTTTAAAAGACATCTRATTTGATGCRCGCCGCGTCGTGAGGAGGAAACACGTCCCGTGGCGAAAAAAAGGTACCTGAGTCGACATCAGTCSACCATTTCTTTCCTCCTCTTGGACCAGAAATATAAAACCCTCATCTTTTTTTCTGACCGAGGCTCAAAGTTATTTGATAAACAGCAAAACGGTTCAGGACGAGGGAAAAAAAAAAAGGCGCAGCAGAACTCCTGGTCTGACTCAGTAGGGGAGGGGGAGGAGGGA